CAGGATCTCAAATATGGCAGACATGAACACTTCTAGGCCTGCTTGAGCCCAATATTATAATATGCCAAGTTTATTCCAGGATGCTAAAATCAAAGAAAAAACAGTATTTAGGTGGTTTTGGTGATCTTGACTGATATTTTGTAAATTTCTCCAAAAAATGTTATTGAAACAAAATGAAATAACATACTGCAGGCACCTTGATGTAGGAGTTTTCCCTAAAGGTGCCTGACGAACCTATCTGCTGTTATTCCAAATCGGATTATTTCTCAGAGGAAACAAGATGGGCTTGGATGAAATTTCCTCATCATTTTCCTAATTCCTAGACTTGTACATTTCTAATTTGGTTTAAAATATTACCATCCTGCTACTATCATGGGGGGTGCATTTTTATCATTAAAATTAAAATCTTATCTTAAATGTAGGTCTTTTCTTCCATCATTATTGCCAATATCAGTGCTTTCATTAGATATTTTTCTGGACATTCATCTCAATGTGTAATAATTTATTTTCCACATTTTTATTTGTTTTGCTCATTAGATTCTGTGCTCTATAAAATTAAGAACATTCCTATCTCCTTCATATATAGTCACAGCTCTATATGCACAATACCTGGAAAGTTGTTTCATAATAATGCAGTGTATACATGATAAGCAATAGAAAAAAATACACAGTAACTCCTTATGTGTACTGCAATCTTTGATTATCACATCAACTTGGAGGAACACTTATATATTCCCCAGGCCAGATCCCTAGAAAGTTTGATTCAGAAGGTCAGGGATCAGTACTTGTGATCTTGGCCCAGCAGCATGCAAATCTCTTGAGAGCTTGCTATAAATATAAAATATCAGGCACCACTTCAGACCTACTAAATCAGATTCCAAGATTCTTTGGAGATTCCTACACACGTAGGATGTTTACAATGTAATCTCCAAGTGTTTCCAATATTCAGCCCTGTTTGAGAACCACTGATCAAAAATATGCCCAAACTAATGCAAGTAAAAAAAAAAAAGTCACTCTGCTAGATACACACTGAGCAAAAATGATACTGGAGTGCTCATTTATTCATTTAATACAGTATCCATACTGAGCTCCTACTTTAATCAGGTAATAAGCTAGGTTTACAAGATACAAAGTAAAATCTGGCACATTTCTTCCTCTTTAGAGGATATGTATGTTGGCATAGGACATAGGCTCACAAATAATTGACAGCAAGGCAATGTTAGATATATGATGATAGGCAGAACATAAGACTGAAAGCTGGACTAAAATGCAGAGGAAGTCATTTCTACTTAATCTTAAGGAAGCACTTGGGAAAACTAACCTGAAGACAAATCTTGTGTAGATATTCAAGTCAGGCAAAGGACTGGAGATCCAGAGCAGCCTGGAAAGATTGAGAATTTCCAACATATTACTAGATCTGCTAGGAGGGAGACACGAGATTGGTAAGGACCAATGATATAGGACAGAGATCTCCATGTAAGGTCTGTGCCCTGAGGAATCAGGAGCCAGGTACAGGAAACTGGGGAGTGAATGTGCAATTAAGCCACAGAACAGCAAGTTTTCCTACAAGCTCTGCATATAGTGCTATGGGAGCTTGTGAAGACCCAGATCCTGGAGACCTCTACAGTGTGTCAAGAGCACCTGGTTGATACAATGATAAAGGAACAAGGAAGCACAATCTAGCAGAGACTGTAGCACATTTGAAATCTTAGAGGATAGGCCAGGTTTTATTTTTATGTAAGGGGAAATAAGAATTTCCAAATATCTCTATTGTAGTACGTAAGACAAATGAAGTAGCTATGAATTTGCAAAGGAGAAAAATTCCAGAACATTCAGATCTTAATTGTCAATGCAGGGAAATGGATTTTTACCTTATGTTGGTGGAGAACCTCTAGATGATTGTAAATGAGAAAATCATGGGGCCATATTTGAATTTTCAGCACCATAAAGAAAAAATTGGAAAGCAGCAGGGGAGAGAGGCTGGACAGGAGGTGGTCTCAACAGACCAGGTGGGAGAGGGTGAAAATGGAATCATAGAGATGCTTATAAGAAGGAAATGCTGATTTCTCATAATAGTACCCCCCAAACCTTCATTTAGACTGTTTTCTTTTCCTTTTGGTTGAAATAAATATCAGAAGTTTGGTTACTGAATTTTTTTAGATTAAAGAATAATCAATTTGGCATATAAATTGGAAGAGAGTAGAAATAAGCATGGGATAAATAATTGCTTACTGGCCATCTAGCCAAAAGCAAAAAAGAGAAAACAAACAGGAAAGTCTAAAAAGGAGACAAAAAGAAACAAGTAAACAAAGAAACAAACAAAAAGATCCAGGAACTTCAAATTTCACATTATGGTGCTATGCAGTGTGAGACAAACATCCCTAGACATCTCAGTCTGTCATCATACATAGAGTAGAGCAGAATGACAGATATTCAAAGGACCACAACCTCTTCAGCAAAATAATAGAGTATGTCCACGAAGGCAGGTGAACATATTTTAGCATTCATTTGAAGTAAGTTTCTGCTCCATGGAATTGGAACTAAAGTTTGTTTTGGCACTTCCAAGTATCCATGGAAAGACATACAGATCTGCAGACCAGTGACCCATGACCTAATTCCTTTCCCTTCCATCCTTATTCTGTAAAAGAAAACACAATCAGGGACCCAATTACCCAGGGAAGGTTGTTCCCTTGCTTTGCATGGAGCAGAGGTGGGAGTGAAGCAGGTGTAGGGTGCAGATGCCACAACTGAGGCAACCTTCCTCCCAAGTAACCTATGTGACGTACTGATTATAGTAATCACAGCGGCAGTGTGAACAGCAGCGAACAATACTGTGTCTCAGATCAATGAAAATAGTAAAATTATAGCTCTTTGGTTTTAGGGTCAGAAAATAAAGACTGGTTGTATAATTTTTGTACTTTCTTACGACACTCAGGGGTATTACTGCTGAGTTAATTTCCCAAATTGGCAGATTTATAAGGTCTAAGGGAGAAATGTAAGGTGAGTTTTAAAGATGCAGTTGCCTAGAAAAACGAGATCAAAACTCTACAAACTAAGAAATGACATTATACATTTTTTTTAAAATCTTAGGAATTTTGACATTCCGGGGAATACACTTCTCAAAATATTGGTAGTGAAAGTAAAAGGGTAGAGATAAATTTGAAATCCAATGGAAGATAAATCTCCATGAAAGAAAATCTTGTGGAGATATGAATTATTGCTTAGAAAAACTTAGGATTGAAAAAGTAGGAGTACAACTATGAGCTAATAACTTTTGAACAATCATTATTGTATACCATTGTATAATGTTAGAAATATTAAACTTCTATGCTAAAGTGAATGCCAAATTAATATTCCCATTTTTCAGATAAGAACATAGCTCATCCAAGAGTTAAGCCACATAAATGCTGATTTAACTTCTTCAGTGACAGAGCTTGAAGCCTGGCTCCAGAGCACCTTCTTTAAGCAAATGCGGATCATTTTCAGTTTCCAACATATATTGCAAAATGTGACAAATTCAAGAGAAAGAAAAGTCCCTGAACTTGAAGTTGAAACTTCTTAGTGAAGCTGGGAAGCATATCCTATTAATCTGATCAAATCACTGAAGATATAACCATTATTAGATTTTGTTTCTAAGGAAAATTATTCCCATCTTTTTCTCTGGTTTGGAATCCCTTAGTTGCTCTGTCTTCTCTACACATGCTCAAACCTAGCTTAGATACCCTCCAGATTCGGTTGCATTCTCTTCATATTCAATCAACTGCAATCACCAACACTCTTAGCCCCTCTCATACTTGCCCTTAAAAATCTCTGCTTCACTGACAAAGAATCCCCATTCCTTCTAAAGGCCCATTTTATGTCTGTTTCTCATTCATTGCCATAAATTGGAAATTTTTTTTATCACAAATAATCAATATGCTTTTCTTTTTCTTTTCTCTGAAACATCATAAGCTGGACTGGAACCATGGTGGTCACAGATATTTATTCATAAGATTGTTAAAAGGATTGACTGAGAAGGCGAATATAGTACACTGGGTCAAACATAAAATTTAAAGTCAACAAACTATAGCCTTTGTAACCACAGCTCAGAAAAGGTGAATGATTTTTCACAGAAACCCTTTGTATTGAAGAGAAGCAAAAATTTCAAACTGCCCATTTTTGAGCCTAAATTTTCTGGTTGGGTTTCTTATGTTGATGACATTCGCCATCAACCTGCTTGGAAGATGATTGGGATTTTATCACATTATCTAGGCCAGGATAGGCTCTAGAGTTTTCTTGGCTTTTCTGAACTATCATCCATTTATTGAAGAGCTACTATGCTTTAAGCACAACCCAAAGAACTTCAGAAGCATCATTTGATATACTAAAATAGTCTACAAGTATTATTAACTTCACATTTTCACAGGTGAGAAAACTGAACTTCTCCATTGCCACACATTCAGTGACTTGGAAATCAAGTGTTCAAATCAAGCCTTTCTAATTCTAAAATTATAGCTTTGTGTAAATTAGGTTTTTTTTTTTTTTGGCCATACTACTTGCCATTCCTTGTCTACAGTACTGATTAATTCCAGCTCACCCATGTTGAACAGGAATGTTACCTCAACAAAGAAGGATTTTTCCACAATGACTTTAAAAAATCATTTTAAGTTATAGATAAACAGGAGAGTACCTTTGGAAATTATTCCAGCTCAAGATTTAGCATGTCCATTTTTTTCCTATGACTCTATCTTCCAAATGTGAATTGTTGAAGAACCAAGCCTGAGAAGTAATGATTCAAAACTCAAATACAGAGAGTGCAAGTGCTGGTTTCCTATTCTGTTTCCTGTCCTCAAATTCCTTTTACTAATTCAGGCCTTTCTTTCAATTCCATTCAATAAATATTTCTCAAGGACTCACCCAAGGCTGAACTCTCCTAGAAACTAAGTATCCCAATTGTTGACACCATGATGTTTACTTCCTATTGGAGATTACAGTATAAAGAGATGTTTTTCTCATTGCAGAAAACATCATGCTGAAAAATACAATCTGTGAACAATTTCCCAAGATATTTCTTCAAGGGGTACAACCATGGCCCAACAAGTTTCAGAAATGGTATTGCTATGAGCTCTCTCCCTTGATATTTGTTGCTAATAGTAGCTTATTAGGTAAGTTCCTATAGTTGTGGACTCTATTTTGCTTTATTTAATTCTGGATTGACAAAATTCTTATTGTTACAGAAACTTCTATTCTTCCCCATGCAATTTCTAGGAAGATTTTATGAAATTAGACTTCCTTCAAATATGTTTTAAGAAATATCAACCTAAACTAATTTATCAGTCATCTAACATATTTATCTCTTTTTTTTCTTTCTTCTAAACAGTCCTTGATACTATTGCCAAGATTTTCTTCCTGTAAGAATTCAGACATGGAGGTTATTTTGTTGTTGTTGTTTTGTTTTTGCTTTCTGCATATACAAACAAGCACACAAAACAACACAGGATCCACTATTTTAAAGCAAATTCTAATGCCTTAACAGAGCCTTAGGGTTTTATTTATTTATTTTTGTATCAAAATTACTTGTCCAGCTTTTAAAAATACCATTCCCTAAATCACTTAAGCTGAATGTTATGATATTAATCTGCCATTCCCACAAAGTCACCAGATCCTACCCATATGCTTGAGAAAGAAATATACAGAATATTTCTGTCTTCCATCTCTGCCTCTAGATACTTTGTACCCAGCTAGAATACATGCCATGAATCCCCATGAAGTCCCTCTTGATCTTCAAACCTCAGGTAAACCCTTATTCTCTTGTGTTTACAGAGCCCCTTTCTTGTCCCTCTTCAAGAATGCAGCACAATCTTCTTAATTCACTGAAACTTGTACTTTATGTAAGTTTTCTTTTGAAGACACAGGGCAAATGAGCAGGCACATGGTACTCTGGATACACTGTCTTTCTTGCTGATATGGTCCTCCATCCCAGGGCATTACAGGCTCCTTTGCCTACTAATGCTTATTAGAAATGGTCCTGTCTCTGGAATAATGTAGAAAAGCGCCTGCCCAGGGGAAAATGCCTTGTTTCCCTTTTAGTTTCCTAAGAAAAAATGGGAACAACTCACTAATCTTTAAAACAATGATGAGTTACATTAGACTTCTAAAAGATATAATAATATAAGGATGTGATATTTAGTTTTGATCAAAAGGTAAATAAATATATAGGATTGGCAATGAAAAGGTCTTAATTAGCAAATCACTCTTGCTTCCAAGAAGCTTCTTGTCTATCATTGCTGTCTAATGAACCTCCAATTCAACCCCTGTCTTTCAGGCAACAACAAGTGCCAATATTGCAGGTCAGGCACCTGCTGGCAAGAGAACAGATTAAACATAGTGTTGCTTAGAAGCAACTAAGATATTAAAGAGAGTCTACTATTATGAGGTAAGATAGACTTCTGTCATTCAATTTTCAAGGCTTTCCTTCTCATAAAGTGAACCAAATGTGAAAATATTTAGCTAATTAAAAGTACAAGTTAGATTTTATTAAATGCTTACTTATATCAATACTGAGAGGCAGAAGAAAGTACTGGGCTCAAAAAGATTATGGTTCTAAAATGTTTTGCTCATAACTGTTGTCGTCTCCATGGTCCATGCAAGTTAAGGGGCAAAGAGAAGAGCACTTTAAAATGTAATGAAAGGCTAACAATCTGAGGAGGCATTTTGGAGCAAATGAAATAAAATGGTATTTTCTTGAAAGTTGGCTAAATGCAATTTTCCTGAGTGACTTAGTTAGGCATGAGATTTTGCTTGAGTTGCAGTACATTATACTACCAAAGGGGAGGAAGGGATATTGGATTGGAGATGCCAGTGCTTGTTTTAATGTAAATTCTCCATATGTTTGGTAAAACATATTGACTTCCAAGTAATAGTGTACTTTTGACTTGATATATATTGACTTATACCTACTAGGGACTTATTGATTGTTTTCAGTAAATACACGGTGAAATGTTTTCTCACTTAGCTAAAAAGAAAGCTTAGCCTTCAGCAAGATTTTTTTTTTCTTGTCAAGTTGAAAATACTTTTGGTCAAGGAACCCATTCTCAAAATTGATTGAAAACCATTAGTTTAAAATGTTTATAATCTGAAGACCTAAGGGGGAAAAACTCATTTAAAAAACTGATAATATCAATTTAGAAAAGAATATAACCCTTTTTCTACTGCATGAATAAAAATATAAAATTATGCTAAGTATTATCCCAATTGTGTAAAATTATTAAATTAACTATAAAAAGACTGGAAAAATAGAACAGATGTTCATATTGCCCAGTATTATTCACTGATGTTTCCAAATTCAGAAAGGGACATTTAAACAAGGTCTTGGCATTGTCTCCATATGCATTTCATGAAGTTTTTGTTGTTGGTTCCTCTCATACATGAATGAACTTTTTAACTTTCATTGGTACTCTATCACTTTCTAACACACTGTATTTTCTATAATGAAATAATACCCCCCCAATTTACTATGTTTCTGACATTGATTTGATAATAAGCATGGTAGAATATTAGAATAAGCAAGTGAGAGATTCACCACTGTCCAGAACAACAACAACAAAATGAACTATTCCCTATGATTCAAACTCATGTTCCAAGAGAATCACAATTACTGTCAGAATAATCTTTTAATTCTGTTCAAGTAGTTAGAATTAATGTACATTTGTGAATTCCAAGGATTGTTTCCATATCAATGTGTTAATAGTAACTATCCATGATAGTGGGATTATGGATCATGTGTGTGTGTGTGTGTGTGTGTGTGTGTGTTTGTATGTGTTTGTGTATACTGTTACCATTCTGACCTTTCCAATTTTTTTATTTAGCTCAATTTTCTTGTTAATTAATTTAAAATCATTTGAAAATTTTAAAAAATTCCATGAATTTGCATTTTAATTAGGGTATATCTGAAAATGTCTTCAGTATGAGCTTTTAACACAAATGTCATTACATTGTATATGGCATTTATATGCCATGCCATTAGAAACAGATACTATACCCAGTGTTATATTTTATATCTGGCATGTCTCCCAATGTTTCATGTGTTCAGAGGTGAGATTTTGGGGAAGTGATGGATCATGAGATTTTGAACCTCATTGGTGGATTGACTCAGCCACGAAGGCTGAATGAGATTTTTAGAAGTGGGACCTAATTACAGGAAGTCAGTCACTGGGAGTGTATCCTGACAAGATCCATCTTTTCTCCAGTCCCCTACTCCCCACCTCTCTGCTTCCTGGCTGCCATGAGTTGAGCATCTTTCCTCTACCCTGCCCTGCCACCAGGATGCCCTGGGTCACCACAGGCCCAAAGCAATGGAGCCAGCTGACCATGGACTGAAACCTTGAAACCATGAATCAAAATAAATCTTTCCTCATCTACATTGTTTTTCTCAGGTTTTTTTAAAAACAACAAGAAGCTGACAAACACGCCTGGGTACTATATCATGTGTATTCCCCACTACAAAAAAGGTGGGGTATAACCTCTAAAGTGTAGCTTCAGTTTCTGTTGAACACAGAGCTAGTCAGCATTTCTGTTATTAAAAGAAGTCACTAAGACTGTTCAGTGTTCCATTCCAGCCCTTCTGCTACTCTTGTATCTATCAGAGAAATTACATTTTCCTGGAACCCTTGTCAAGTGGTTTCCTGGGATATTCAGACAGTGAGAGGCACTGGAAGGTGGTTTAAAGGCTGGAGGAAACATGCTATCTCCCCTCCATTTCCACTTGTGCCTTCAGAACAGGTCAGCACAGGGACATGTGTTCTCTACTACGTCACAGGACCCTTTAGCTGGTCACATTGTGGTTTAACTTTCCCAACTGGCTCTGGCTCCTATACTTCACTATGCCTGTCTTCTCTCCTAGTTCTTTCATTTTTAGCTTCAATGATTTCCTGTTTGGGTCCCCTTTTTTGCTTTCTGAAGTCTCCAATGACCAGAATATTAATTTTCTATGTTAAATTCCTTCTATTTGAAGTACTTAGATTTGTTTGCATTTTCCTGAATAGACCTGACATATATAGTGATACCATATCCCACAGCCACTATTGAAATCCTATCATTATTAATTTCTTCTGAATTTGTGAAATAATAAAGTGTATGTTTACTGATCATTTTAAGGCTACTGTTTATTGAGTAGCCATCATGCAACAGGCAATGTACTGGGTGCCCTCCAGAAATATGGAAAGAGTTGCTTTTTATGGTACTTTTTCAAGATACTTTACCTGTTATGGTTTACATGTGGTGTCCCCCAAAAGCTCATGAGTAAGTCAATGCAAGGTTTGGAGGAGAAATGATGGGGCTATAGACTTAACCTAAGCAGTGAATTTATCCCTGATGAAATTAACTGAATGGTGGATAGAGGCAGGGGGTGGGTGTGGCTAGAGGAAGTGGTTTATTAGGAGCATGGCTTTGGGGTATATATTTTTTATCTGGTGAGTGGAGTATCTCTTTCTCTCTGCTTTCTGGTCTTCGCGTGAACTACTTCCCTTTATCACATTTGTCTACCATGATGTTCTGCCTCACCTCGAGCCCCAGGGAATGGAGCAGACCTTCTAAGGAATAAGACCTCTAAAGCTATGAGTCCCCAAATAAACTTTTCTTCCTCTACAATTGTTCTGGTCAGGTCTTTTAGTTACAGCAGCAAAGCTAACTAAAACATCACCCATACTATTTCCTTTGTGGAATAATGGGTTGGATTTCTCCATTCCCCATCCAGACTCCAGAAAGCTCACTAATCCTTCATGTGTAAAATTTAAAATTATTTCTTTGTGACACTTTCCCTGACATTAGAGAGTTAATGTTTTCTTGCTGTAAATCTCATTCCACCATTTACTTCTCCCTCACAGTAGTTATAAAGTTAATTAATAATTTACTATATAATTTATATTTTAATGTCTTATTACACTTATTAAAATGTAAGGTCAATAAAGATTGGAGTCAAATCCATTGAATATGCCTCTGTTTCCCTGGAAGCTATGCAGATTCTTACACAGATAAATCAGTGCTTGATATTTGTTGAATAAATTGTTCCATTTATTTCTCTCAACATTCCTTTAGAATGGAAATCACTTTTCTTTTTTATATAATTTTATTTTCTGCTATATCACATGGGTTATTTTAAATGCTGAGGATAAAACAATGACAAATGTGGACAGAAGTTTTCTCCTTCAAAGAAACTATATTTTAATTAAAAAAATATACAAACAAGTGATGTTAAATGATATTCAAAATGAATCATGGAAAAAGCATACAGAATGCTTCATGATGGGCATGTACCTTCTCAATAGGAAGGTTGAGAAGATTTTGACAGTATGATGTTTGAGCTGAGATCTAGAGGAGGTAAGAAAGTGAAACAAGGGAATAGAAAGGGTTAATAATTCTAGGAAGTGGGAAACCCACCCATTTTAGAGATAATGAAAGTAAAATTCTTAGATAAAGCAAATTTTCCAGTGGCACAAGAAGACTCCTTTATAATCAAGTTCATGTGATTCTAAGCCTGTGCTCTGTTCAACATATTAAAATTTTGTATTCTTGTATATGGGGTATAATGTAATTTAAAAAATTCATCACAACTAAGGTCCAATTGAACCACTCAGTCATGATTGACATCCCACTCACCATGTTAACCATACACCAAAAGAGAAACCACAGATTCATGCAACATTAAAGATAGAGTTCAGTTTCTGATTTTAAGGCATTTCAGTTAAAACAGATTTTGTGGGGTGTTTGTTAGCAGTAAGGTTAGGACATTGTGTCTGATA